TAATTAGCTACAATCCTAGTAATAATTTTCTTGTGATTTAGCTATTTACTCTAGATTTGATTTGTTGAATGAAAATGACATCAACATCAGTATCAATCAATCAAACTGGTCAATAAACAAGAATACTCAAGGCATCCAATAGCTGCTAGTGTGTTATGTTTGTATCATGAAGTAACATTGTAGCTATACTAGTGAAGTTGTATATACAGTACAGTTCTCGCGAAAGCTTTGGCTTCACGTCAGCTTTGCTTCAGCATCGCATCATTATGGTATTGTTAGGGCTTCATCATCGCATCAATGTCGCAACATTAAAAAGTTAGGTGGTTATCGCTTCGCTTCATTCGCCCACTTCCGCTTTTCAATTGAATGCCGCCTTGTTGAATTTGACTGGACAATTTCCGCTTTATTTTCGACCGTGCACACATTCGGATTACTAAAAATTTTCTGGTTTTCATAGATCACGGTTACTAGTTTAGTAACTGTGCATAGATGTTGAACAACCGTCAAAAGTTCAAATACTTTTTGTTTTAACTATCTATAATTATATGCACGCAATCTGACCCTTTGACATAGATTTGGCTGGGATTGAATATTTTATTTTCAACAATATTCCGACATGACGCACTCCTACAAAATGTATTTCAACAGAAGTACAACATGGTTGTCTGGGTTTCCTTTCCTGATTGTGTTGAGTTTATGATTTGTATAATTATTGTTGTTTTACCCCAAGGAGAAGACAAGCCGAAAGACCATGCAGCTAAATAGAAGTCTCACGCATGGACTGAGTGAAAGAAAATATTTCTAAGGCTAAAATAAAACCTAATATCTCTTATATATTTGGTATGACAGTACGTTCGTCAATATCTAGAAAAATTTGTTTGAAATGTTTACCAACCGTGTCCCAATAATTTGTTTGGAATATCGATCTCCGTTGGGTTCTCCAAACGGTTCCGACGACCGTCATTCAATACAATCAGCATTTATTCATCGTAATTCATTTACCTCGCGAAACTACAACAGAGCGTAGAGTTAACGCGGTGAAACAGTTGCTTTGAAATCAATGGAACTTCAACTATCCATTTCTCACCTTGAAATAAAACCAGTTGGCTGAGATAGCTCCGCTGCTAGCAATGCACATTTCAATTTAAGAAGAGAAGATATCATTAGAAAATGAACAATATGTATAGTATCAGAGCAATGGGACTTGCTGTTTTCAATAAGAATTCAGGAATATCACATTTCACCAAAAATGACAAAAATAATTATCAAAATTAGATAATTGAAGATATCACCACAAAATTAACAAATCTGAAAGACGTCCACATGTAGTACCTATATACATAATATAAAAACAATCGGACTTGCGGTTTTCAACAAGAAGTCGAAAATATCACTTTTTACCAAAAATGACAAAAATATTAAGCAAAATTAGAGAATTGAAGATATCATCATGAAATGAACAAATCTTTAAGTGGTCCACATGTAGTAGTTAGTACCTATATATGTAATATCAAAGCAATTGGACTTGTGGTTTTTAACAAGAAGTCAAAAATATCACTTTTTACCAAAAATGACAGAAATATTCACCAAAATTAGAGAATTAAAGATATCATTACAAAATGAACAAATCTGAGAGAGGTCCACATGCAGTATCTATATATGTAATATCAAAGCAATCGAACTTGTGGTTTTTAACGAGAAGTCGAAAATATTTTTTTGTGAGAATACTTTTAAAGTACATATAGATCAAGCTCAGGTCGCTGATCGTGACTTCATTTTGATGATTGACGACAACGCTGATGCACCAGGCGGCATATGTGTATTTTGCATGTATTAGTAGTCCGGGCATGGGATCAGACTAGGCTAAAACTAAACGAAACGCAGAACAATACCACCGAAATGAGGAATTTGAATGTGTTCTCTAACCAGCAAATAAAATGAGCTAAAAAGGTAATTTTATAACAAGAACAGTTTCATTTCGTATATAACAAATTGTGTTGTATCCAAACAACGATTGCATCATGTGATTTAAATTTATCACGATTTTCCTTGCAGTCAATATGACACTCATCACCTTGCCGACTGTAATGTACTTCACAAAGTTTTTGATGCCCAATACTCGCAACACTAAAATAATTAAACAAGATATTTTCTTAAAATATCATTTTACTCTTGAACATATTATTTTACTCCCCTTACTGCCTTGAATTTCAAGTCAATTACATATCGAACTTCTGTACATGTGTTATTTTCTACTGTCCTTCTGTGTGCAAATAATGAGGTCATAGTCATGTCGCAATACTTTGAAGCTGATGCCATGTTGATGCCATGAGACTGTGAAGCTGAGGCCACGATGATGTCACAAAATTAGCGAGGCAAACACAGCTTCAATTTTCAACGACGCGAAGCTAATGCCACAATGATGCGATGCGGAGGTGACAATGAAGCCATGCGTAGGCGACAATGATGCCACAAAAGCCAAAGCTTTTGCGAGAACTGTACTGTAATGAGTGCTATAACACATATAAGCATATGGTGTTTATGAAGTGGACTTGCATGAAATGGTTGTACAAGTTATGCCACATGAATACTGTGTATAATATGAGTAGTCTGTAGTGCAATAAATGCTTACCTCTCCTACAGCTGTGGCTAATATATCTACAATTTTTTCATGAGGTGTTGCTACTACACTCATACCATTAATTTCAATGATACGGTGACCAACACGAACACCACCCCGCTCAGCAATGCCTCCCCTCATTAGGCTGCAAATCTGCAACAAATATTGAAACCATAATTACAGTAATTGCCAATAACCTTTTAAATTACTCAATTAATCAATTAATTAATCAATATTCCAATTTATAGGTAGTAGTTATACTTTATTTTATCATGAGCAAAACCAAAATCATGTTATTTATTGAATTCAATATATATAGTTTTGTTCATAATAATATAGTTGGAACACAAAAATGTCAGAAGTATGGATCCAGAAGATGATGCTTGATTATGATGATTTTTTAACATTAAAATGTTTGACATCTTGTATCTGATCGTCAAACGAGTACTTGTCCATATTGAGAAATATTGCTTAACTTATTAACATGATGTAAAACTAATATATACAAGCAGCCTGTCGGCTGAGATAGCTCCGCTGTTAGCAATGCACATTTCAATTAAAGAACTGAAGATATCATCAGAAAATGAACAATATGTACATACTAAAGCAATCAGACTTGCTGTTTTCAACAAAAATTTGAAAATATAACTTTTTATCAAAAATATTCATGAAAATTAGAGAATTAAAGACATCATCACCAAATGAACAAATCTGAGTGAGGTCTACCTGTAGTACCTATGTAATATATATAATATCAAAGCAATTTGCGGTTTTAACAAGTAGTCGAAAATATCACTTTCTACCAAAAATTACAAAAATATTCACCAAAATTAGAGAATTAAAGATATCATCATGAAATGAACAAATCTGAGAGAGGTTCACATGTAGTACCTATATATGTAATATCAAAGCAATTGAACTTGCAGTTTTTAACAAGAAGTCGAAAATATTATGGTTGTACAAACCCATTTGTTTACCTAATCATATATACAAGAAAGTCTGTGGAAATAATAAATTCCCATTTATTACTCGTTAGGCTTAACTACAGATTACAGCCCCGATCGGAAACTATTAGGGAATATACCCTGTTCACAAAGAACATCTTAGGGTAGCATTCCCTATAGAAAAGAGGCCTGGCAAGAAAGAACAGCCGGGACTTCAAAATAACTATTGAGTTCATAAAAGAAGCACATTCGCCACTAAAGGACAGTGCCCCTATCTCTGAGCGCTGCCTACCTGACGCTTGAGCCAAAAGAAAAACTGTTTACATAGTAACATACTTAGCGTCTGCCTTATCCATTCGCTCGAGGGGGTGTCGTAACGCCATTACACCAACGACAACTCCCAGTCAGGAGGATTAGCTAGCCCCTTGGCGCATGGCCCCTTCAAGCGGAATTACTAAAACAGTTGTAACATAATAGAAGTCGAAACCAGTTTCAGTC